CTCCCCTGGCAGAGGGACAAAGCAGCTTTAGGAGAAAAAGTTTATTTCAGGCTGGTAAACTGCTGCTTCCCACACAAGGGCCGAGCCCGAAACTGCGGTGGTGAGCCCCACCCCGCCACCACCTTCACACCAACCCTGGTCCCTGGTCCGCTCAGCGCCAGGAGCTTTGCTGCAGGGCCACAAACCTCCTGCTGCTTCAGGGGTCACGGCTAAATGCCAGCGCCTCGGTGGGGGATAGAGCCTCAGGATGGCTTAAGGAGAGAGCTGGGAAGTCTGTTGCACAGGAGCCTGGTGCTTTGCAGAGAAGATCTGATTCAGCCAGGCGTTGGGGAGTTCATTAGGGAAGTACAGTCCCTCCTGGCCCACGGTGTGCAGCTGGCCAGACCAAGTCATTCTGGAGCCTGAGGGGCCCACTGAAATCTAGTTAGAGGGCTTTAGAGATTAGATTTGTGGGAGCAAAGAGCAACGAAATTAAATTTACAGGGGCAGAAACATTTTTGAGCTGCTTGAAAATCAGACTTAGTATTGGTACTTCAGGCACGGTGACCGTGGTGGAACATGACATTCTGGTTCATAATGGCAAGGTTTGGTTCAAAACCAAATCGAGACAAAACCAAACAGTGGCATTTGTGACCTCTAGACATGAGACCCTGTTTCCCATGGAGTGAGCGACCGGGAGACTGGCTCCTGTTGTGCCTTCAGCAGAGATGGGTTGCTGATGCAGAGCGAGGCATCGGACGGCTGCTGCGGTTCTTCCCAGTGCTCCTCTGGTGCCTCAGCCTTGGCAGTGGCAGTTTGGCTGCAGGTACGGTCCACTGGCACGCTCATGCCGGACAGTTCCTGGCCTGCAGGAGTCGTGGGTGGCTGTGCTGCCTGTCCACGGCTCTCCCAGCTGTGGCTGGGTGGCCGCTGGGGCGAGCTCTGGCAGCCTGTGTGACAGGACAGAGCCGCTTTTGCTGGCCAGGTCTGGCAGCATCAGCTGCTTTGCTCCAGCCCAGCCTTTTTGGGAGCCTCCTGGTCTGGTGTGGGAGTGTGGGGCTGAGATCACCCTGGACGTGCTGCGGGGGGCTGCTGACAGCCATCTTCAGCTGCTGCCATAGGATGACCGTGCTCTATGTTTCCTTCAAACTCTTCTAGGAGGGTTTGGCCCAGGGAAGGTGAAGGCTCCTTCCCCCGTTGTCCCCCTTGCCTGCTGGCCTCTGGCAGCGGGACAACAGACCAGCTTTGAGGTATCACCAAGCCGTGAAGCTCCCCTGTAGTGAGCTCTGGGTGGAGGTGGCCCATCCCTTGCCCCGTCCCCAAAACGGGGGTGCTGGGAGGTTCGTGTGCAGGAGACAAGTTCCCTGCTGGGCTGCTTGCTGCAGCGCCTGGAGGGCGGGGGAGAACCGTGCATGAAGGGCGCTGGAGCCTCCTTTCAAAGCAAACAACTCAAGGAAATGCAAGCTGCCGGTCCTTGTCCTCTGGGTGCTGTGGGGCACAGCTCTGCCTTTCCTTGAGCACTCTTGGGGTGAGGATGCCTTGTCCTCCTGTGCCCTCACTTAGTTGTCCCCATCCGTTTTGTTGCCACAAGCCGTGGCTGACAAGAAGGTGTCTGTGCTGCTGGTTTCTTCCACCCCTGCTTACCCTTGAGTCACTTCCTTCCTGAGTTTGTACAATCATGCAGCCCAGCTGCTGGTGCAGGGCAGATGTAGCACAGTGACCCGCAGCGTGCCAGGGGCTGGGACCTGGGGCTGGCCCTGCAGAAGGCCGGCTGTGGTGGCCCCGTCCCACCTGCCTGTCCAACCAAGGTCTCCAGCGGCGTGGGGAGCTGGATGCCTGGGGACCGTGTCTAGGATTAGGGCCTGAATTGCATCCACAGTGGAGGAAAGTGTTATGAAAGTGTTTCTCAAGAGCTGATAAATGATGTTCAACCCCCCCTGATTTCAGAAAGCTGTGCCTTTGGCCCAACTCGGCAGGGTGGTTTAATGTATTTCCAAAGGGAGGTGGGAGATTGTGTGTGTGTTGGCACCGGGCAGGGGGAAGGCAATCCCTGCAGATTGGCTGATCCCAGGAATCAGACGTACAAGTATTTCAGCACTTAGTGCTTGCTATGATGTAAATTTTTTGGTCTATCTAGAAACTTTCCCACCCTGTCCTACAGCACTGGGCATTTGCTCCAGCAACTGAAGTTGGAATAATATCTAGTTCTTGGATCTCACTTTTCTGAGGCTGGCTTATCTCTGGAGAAAGGTGGGAGTGTCCACACTTCACAGGTGGGAAACTGAAGTGATGAGCCCCGGGCGATGCAGCGAGTTGTCTGTGGAGCCAGGATTAGAGCAGGAATTCCTGTCTCCCAGCTTCGTGTCCTCTCTCTGAGAGCCCCTCCCTGGAGTAAGCAATCAGTCTGGAATGAGTAGGTGGCATGAACATTGTTACTACGGCAGGAAGAGCTTCACACCGAGCAAGACTTGGCCTCGAGAGGTGATTAGTTATGCAGAGGTCCTGAGGACAGGCCTGGGAGCCAAGAACTCTTGTGCAGGCATAGAGTAACCTATGGCTTTAGGCACTCCTGCCCCTGCCCTGATTCTCCAAACTTAAATGTGAGTCACTGAGATGTCCAGGTGAAAGGTCCTTGTGTTCTTGGTTGTGACTTTGTTCAGCAGCCAGAGTGGTTGGTCCATCCGCTTCCTCTGGTAGTCAGAGGCTCTAGTGCTTTTGTTCCACCAGCCAGGAGACGGCGGTACCACTTCAGTCTTGTTTTCCTTGCCTGGGCTTGCTCATGTAGGTGGACAAAGGGTGTCTCCTCTCTTAGCTCCTGGTAAGGCTAGGCTGCAGTTGGACTCCTTGCTTCATAACTGATGGTCCTGATTTTGTGTGCCCTGCAGGTGGTGGCGGAAACCGGAAAGGCAAGAGTAAGAAATGGCGCCAGATGCTGCAGTTCCCCCACATCAGCCTCTGCGAGGATCTTCGACAAACCCTCGGTGAGACGCGGCGGCTGGCAGGAGCTAAGCAGTGCCCAGGCTCCGTTCCAGAGCGGGGCCGGTGGGTGAGCGTGTCTGGGTGTTGTGCACCCAAAGCTGGGTGCACGTGAAGGCAGTTCAGTCCCGCGAGGGTCAAGGATGTATAATAGGGCATGTGTCGGCCAAAACCTGGCCAGGATCACTCAGAGCT